GGCTGAGGGCGGTGGGGGTGGGATAAGACAGTGACAGTCCTTTATATTTCACCATTTTCAATTATATTAGATGCAAGGCCAATTGCTATAGCTTTCCCTGAGTGAATTATTATTCTTCCTGCACCTAAACCAGTATACCTATTACTTATGTCTGAGGGAAAGTCATCTAGCATTTTACAAATGTCTGCAATATATATTTGCTCCATTCTGCAGCTTGTCATACTCCGGTGAGAATAAAAATGTTATGCAGCAGAACAGTAGTTTGTCAGAGGTAGGCCAAAGAAAGAAAAAATATGTTTCCCATTTCCTGAATAACCTCAATCCCTGGACGCTGACCCTTTCCCACTGGGACAGTGTGCTGGCCTCTATTACACAGCTGCTATTCTGTTCCATCTAGTGAAATATATATATATATTATTTTTTTTTTTGTTTCTAGTGCTATGTTAAAACAGTAAAACCAGAGCTATTCCGAGAGAGCAGGAGAACAGATGCAGAAAGGGCAAAGCAACCAGGTTGGTGTGTGCACCAAGAAGATGGAAAGTGGAGAAGCCTACGAGAGAGGAGAAGAGAAAATGAAAGGAAACAGCAGAAGCACCTAGGGAAAGGGACATCTTTTCTCCTAAGCTGGTTCAGACCCTTCCCAAGAGGCTCCAACCCTGACTGGAATGTCCAGGCATTACACAGCGTCTTTACTCAATCTTCACTTCAAAGGGTTTCTCAGACTGGACCACAAAAACATCACCAAAGGCTCAAGAATTACTCATTTTTATGAGGACCACAGGTCTCCGAAACATCTGCACAAACTGGCCTTTCCATAGTAAAAAGTATCTGAGATACTGACAACACCAGCAGTGAAAGACCTGAATGGAGAGTTGCAGCAGACCAGTGAGAAATGCAAGTGAGAAAGAAGCTGGAAGAAAAAAGGGAAAAAATTGTACCATCTCTAGTTTTGAAGCTGCACATAGTAAATTACAAATACTAACTAAATTTAAAGTGTATTTCTACCCCAACTTGAAATTACAGTAAGAAGTAGCTACATTGTTGAATATTTTTTAAAAAAACATTGATAATCTGAATGAAAGACATTTCTCATCTTTAATCCCAAATGTGATTACATACTCCAAACTGGCAGTAGTTTTTGCAAAGGGTGGAAAATATTCAGGGCTTGTTTATAATTAGTAGACTAATTGTAATAGGGCCACACCTCCAGCTCTTATAAAAAGGCATAAGGTCTCCTGAGGACAAACATGCCGGTCCGTTTATTCCAGCTGAGGGTCCTGAAGATGTTTCACCTTTCGTGATGGTGCCAGTGCATTGGAATGCACTACAACCCTGCAACGTAAACAGATTTCTAACAAGACTGCAAAACATCTCAGGTTGTCAACCAACAAACAGAAACCTCTGCTACGTGGTGACCCAAGCACACCTGGGTTTAAAGGACTCAGATCTTCCTTTGCAGTCTTTTGTCTTCTCCTCTCTTCCAATTCCAAAACTATAGGTGATTATTAAAATATGCACAAGGAGCTATGAACACATTTTGCCCTCTTGAAATGCACACAGAGAAGCCAGCAGGGAGCTGGGCACACCTATCTGCCAGAGAATTTGTCTCTCACTGTTCACCCCTGCTTAGTATTTTCTGAGAGCTGCAAGTCCACTAACTAATGGCCTGTCAGCTGTATCTCTGCCCCCTTTTCTCTCATCTGCACTTTGGGGTCCATCAGCACGAAGAAAATGACTAGCTGGTGACAATCATCATTGGCAAGAGCTTTTCTGATCCCCACTCAAATGGTGTTGAAAACTGTTTCCCGGCTCGTGTAGAAGAGACAAACACATTTCTGGCCCATTACAGATTGATGCAGTCATCCTTTCCAGTAATGGGCTTGAAAATTGATTGGTCCCAATTACATCAGGAGTAAACACATCATTTTCAGCACCAGTTGGAAGTGGTCCAGGGGGACCTGCTGTTGACAACCACTGTCAGCAGAAAGTTAGTCAGTGAAAGGTGATTTTTCTAATGCAGATGCTGAACAGAGAGCCAGGAGAAGCTTGACTTTAATATGATCTGCATCAAAACAAACATCCACATTTCGGTATGTTATTGATGGTGTTTAGGCACATCAAGTTTAAGATTGCATGTGGATTGTGACTGTACAATATCCTGCACATAAAAAAAAAACCCCTTACTCCTAAGACAATACAGACATCTTAAATATTCAAATTTAGATGATCCGTGAAACATTGTAATTTACCACTACTGACATCATATGGACTGCAAAGAGAATACATATACATCAAAGGTTTGCCCAACTGCCAACTACCATTTTTGAAAGCAATACTGTTTTCTACATAAGCGTAAATGAAAAGATACCAGGGTTCCAACCTCATTTCTGCAAAGTGCCTTTTAAATGTCCATATTTGAGTTTATTGCAGTTTTCTTATTTGTAAAATCAGAACGCTACTTCCTTATTTCATACAATGTAATGCTGTGAGGAGAATCAATAATTTTAACCAAGCAGAACATATAAATTGCTGTACAACTACCTAACCCTGTTTTGCTATTTATAATGCCCAGTGATGGACCAGGTAATGGAACAGATGAAACTGTGATCCACAGCTTTGAGTACCTTCATCAAATGCCATGTGCAGCTTCCACCCACACAAAACGTGGCAACTGCTTGCTTTGCTTTAGAAACTTAATTGTCCCATCATTTCACTGTTCAATTACATTCTTCCATCCATTTCATCCTCAGCTACACAGAGGGAAAACCACCATGTTGTGACCTTACAGTTTTCTAGGGGCCACCACTTAATTTTGGTCCCACATTTGGAAACTTCTAGATAAGCTAAATGACATTAGCTAAATGACAGGCATAAAGTAAGCTGATGGTCCCTACTTCACTTTTCTCCAAATGCCTTTGTGTGCCAAAGTCACATCATTAACATTCACTTCACAAAATACAAACATGATGTATTGAGAAAAGTACCCTGGTTTGGATAAATATGTGTTCATTCAACCATTATGTAGTATTTAAATTATTTTTCAAGTAAATTCCCTATCATTAAAAAAGTCACTTTTGTTCTTTTGAGAACAATTTTCTTCAGTCTGCGTATGAAGAAGAGAAAAATGTTTTTCTTATACATGATCACATTGTTCAGGAAATTTTACAGTATTTCCCTATTATGTAGCTTCAGCCCACGCTTATACAGCATGTTAATGATATTCAAAGTGGTGTGAGGGCCTATAGCACATGACAGTTTCAAAATGTCAGCACAAATGTATTGTAAGTTGAATACAGTCTTAATTTTTAAAGGAAATTGCACATTTCACAGAGTTGAGTATAAATGTCAGCCTTATTTTAAGGTTGAGTAAATAGTCTTAAACACATCCTAATCCTATTAGATGCAAACCCTGCATGTAAAGGTTGAATTGAGTTGGCAGAGCGTTGGAGGTAAACAGGCATTCTGCTCCCATAGGTATACTGTACTGAGGGCTGGATAAAAGAGCTTTGTCCTTCTATTCCCCCAGTAGTTTCCCTCCTTTTCCCTTGCACTTTCAAAGCCGCGATTCTCCTAATAGCCTGAAATATTTCAGAAAGACAAACGCTCCACATTTGGGATGCTCGCTATTCCACGCTTTGACTCCAAGAGGAAAACTCACACGGCTCTTAATTAAACCTGTGCTTGCAAAATAAGACATGGGCAGCTATTCACCACGGTGCCCAAACAATTACCCGCAGGAGCTGTGTAACTCCACTGAACAATAACTGGACTTACATAACTTGTTCCTTTATGTGTGATAAAGATATATCCCCCCATTGCACTGCAGCTCCCCGTGAGCAACCAGAAAGACACTGTTCTTAAACACACGAAACTAACTGGTTTGAGTTTTATGTTGGAGGGTTTGTTTGATTCTTTTTCTTAAAGTTTGCTCAGGCTGAAAATAATTTCCTTCATATTTTTTCATTATTTTTAACATGCTGTTAAAAGTTCTCATTTATCAAAACATACTTCTCTCCAATGTTTGCTTTCATTTCCTTTTTTTTTGCTTGCTTTAAGGGTGAAAGAAGATGAAACAACTGAATTTCATTTACTCTCACATCTGTACCCTGCTCTCCTTAATTCTGTTAGCAGGTGATGTACAGCTGTAGAAGGGGAATGGGTTTTTCACTAGCATACTAATCCTCAGACCATGATGAATTTGATTCAAAAACTCATCTCATATTCCTCCTGGTCCCGCCACCTTCTCCGACAGGGACTCGCATCCCTCTTCCCAACATTACTTCCTTCCCTAGTAGTCCACCATCACTCCTACTGGGTGTGATGGCTAAAAAAAACTGGGTAAAAAAAAACCTCTTTCTTATGGGGAGCGAAGTTCATGTTCCCAGGTCCTACCCTCCGCCAATCTGACATCCTTATGCTTCCAGCAGCTGAGACCAACGGAATTTGACAGGAAGAGGGAATTCTGTAATCAAGGCAGGTTGCAAATTACCACTGGGAGTTCCAAGGCAGGTATTTCCCAGCAGAAGAAAAAGTTATTCTTCAAACATAATGCTTCCCTGAAGTTTTCCAGCAGCCTTTTAATCAGCGGCCAGCTGTCAAGATTCTGCACACACGGACATACATCTAACATTGACATTTAGCTTTCAGCCTATATAACCTGGGAGTGTTTGTTACACTGTCAGTAGGGAAGACAGGGTAAATTCAAGTTAATTCAAAATGAACACCCAAGCTTCATTTTCTATATTGTTAGCAGCAATCAAATATCCTGTTTATCGGAGAAATGAGAGTTCTAAAATCACATACCTACCTGACTTGACTTGTGTACCTAAGAAAAATGGAAACGTATCCTAACTTTAAATGTATTTACATGCCAGATGCTCTTACTGCTTTTGTGTACCCTTAAAACGACCTCACTATTTTAACCAGTCTTCTCCAAAAATTTACTTTTCTCATAAGCAAGCTTTTACAAAAGCTAAGACATTTTTCTTCAAAGTTGCATTTCTCTAGTTCAAGACACTAATCTTGGTAGCATTTCCACCCCTAGCAATGGTACAGTGAGCTAGTATAAGCTAGCTTAACCATGAAATCAAATGAAACTAATAAAAAATGTAAATACTATTATTAGGCTTTTTATATTGTGAAAACCTAAAGAACTTCTTGAAGAAGTTAACAAGCAGCTGTAAAAAATCGTAGGCTTTTTATATTGTGAAAACCTAAAGAAGTTCAAGAAGTTAACAAGCAGCTGTAAAAAATCACCAAAAAACCCCCAACAAACTAACCTTTAAAAATATTGTTAAATACTCTGATTTATTTGTAAATTATTCAAGTGAGACTACAAGAACAAATAATGGCATAAACTAGTGCCAGGTATCAAATTGAACTTTATGGCTCAAAATGTGTAAAATAAGTCATAAATTGTTCTTGGGAACTCATTTCATATGTATTCATGAGGTGGGAACAAAGTTATTCATGAACATAAAAGTGTGCAGGGCAGAAACAGCTCCCCCCCGCCCCTACACAGAACCCTTGAAGACCTACCCAAATGTTGACAGTGTAAGACACTGAAGCCATTCTGGTGTTCATGTAGACAAAGAGCTTTGTACACTTTGAAAGTACAGGTAGGCACAAATTAATTCAGAGAACCTGTCTTTGTAATTTCATCTCAAACTGATAGCACTTAATAACAATTACCACTAATAAACAGTAAGACCACTGCTTTCCACTGCAGTTTAGGATAAAAGTTACATACCATTACTCATAGCATATTTTAAACATGCATCATGTCCCAAATTACTTCAGAGCAAATAAGGTAAAAAACCACCAACTAATGAAATAGGAAAATATTCCAAGCCCAATTCATTTCAGAGAGCTATAATAGATGTTTCTACCCCAAACATAATTTCAGATGGGGAAGTACTTACATCACTCTGGTATTTATTGACTTCCATGGCATGCTTAACATCTGGAGGCTCCTTCATATGTGCATAATCTGAAGTTCCTTTCTCAGCATCATGTTTTTGTTTGTAGAGAACCTGAAAAGAGCAACGTTATGCTTCTGTGACCTCGGCAGAGCAGGTATAATTATGTGAGCTGGGTTAAGCCTAGCGTCATAGCGTGCCTGTATTCAGGAAGAAATGCAATAAATAATTAAGCTCCTTAATGGAACCAGAACCCTGAAACAAGAGCAGCTTCTACCCAAAACAGAGACATATGAGGCACAGTCAGCAGAGAGGCTTCTCTGAGACTGTTATTGCAGCAGAGGTACGAGTAGGCAGAAGGAAGAAAAAGAAATATACAGATACAGAAAATCAACACAGTGCGAAGGCAGCCCAGGGAAAAGCATAAAGGAAAGTTCTTTTGCTCAAAACACACTTGAATCTATCAGCTAAGTAAATATTTCCTTGTGCGCTTTGGGGGTTTTTTTCCCTGCTTTCAGAAAAAAGGAAAAGAAAAAAAACCAAGATTTTGTGCATTCCTCATAAATAAACAGGTTTACATGAAATACTCATAGCCCAAACATCTCTTTCTTCCACTATAAGGAAATTACTAGCACAATACACATTTTGACTAGCCTCCAGGTTCACAAAGAGAAATAATATTTACATTCAATTGTCATCACGGAAAGGAAAATGGAATTGGATTGTGAGTTTATAAACAATTTTATTTTTATAATAGAAACTGAGCTTAATGTTGGGCATTCATCCAGCTTTCACTGTACTGTGTTATACTTACATATACACACACTCACATACTAAAACTGCCTGAAAAGCTGATCTTGCACTTATCCTTGTCAGAAGCTTTTAGGCTTACATTAAGAAAATTCACCAGGTTTTGATGCCTGAAGAAGCAGCGAGCATCAAGTAAATTCATTTACTAATAGCTTGCAGAAGCAAGCATTAAAATAATCCCTAAGAAAACAGCAAATACCAAATGAGATTGAAAGCTGACCAGGAGGAGGAGGATTTGAAACTAAAACCCTTGACAGCAATAAAAGAATACTGTGAAAGTTTTGAGATGGGAACTCTTGACTGTGGTGTTTCAAACTGTTTTAGGACAGGACACTAGAACTGTAAGAAAATGTTGTATCTATTTGTGTTTAAGGCAGCAAGATTGCATCCGAGTCACAGATCAGGGTGCCCAAGGCAATATATTAGTATCTGCCCTGACTATCTCAGATTACAAAATGATATATAGGTTGAGAGATTTAGACAAAAAGGTGGTTTTATAGTAGCACTGCTACTATATGAATGAAAGTATCAAATTAGGAAACCTAAAATATGCCAGCTCCTTATACAGTGTAAATCCAACATGATCAGGCCTCTGGGGAAACAAACACAAATTAAATTGAAACAAAAAACGGTCTATAACCTCCCTATACTGCTTACATCTTGCAACTGGCAAAGCAAATAACATTTAACAAGTCTGAAACATCACTAACAAATGATTCTCTGCAAAAGTGTAATTACTATATAAACTTATGCCACACAAACTCTTGCTACTTCTGTTTCAGATTGTGGCTTTTAAGATGTTTCCCACTTAATACCGTTCTGAAAAGCAGACCCGTACCATTACTTCCAAACTCTACTCATTTACAGCTATTTTATTACATTGCCACTTTGCTGGTTCAGCACCCATATCTTTCTGTTGCTACATGGGCTATATAACCAAGACATCAAAAAACAAAAGCACATCAGCTCCCAGGGTGAAAAAACGAATAAAAATCACAATTGAGTGTCCACTATCCTGGGAAAAAATTACTGTCTCTTTAGCTTAATGTAGGAATATTTGACTTGCTATTTGATGGCTGTGTTCTTCCTATCTTTTCAAATTATTCTTATTAACTAACTTAAGTAACCTTGTAGCCACCACAGGCTAGGAGGAGTTCAATAGCTGTTTAGTTTAGTTTTGGACAGTTTAGTGCAAAACTATTCTCAGATCTGTAAACCAGTTCCACAGAAGCATGAAAAAAAATATTACTATTTCACCAACATTCTTAGAATCCCTATTTTACACGTTAGCATGTGTACATTTCTTTCTCATTTTCAAGCTTTAGCTAAACTGAATTTTTTTTCTCAAATCTACAAATGAAACTAGTCTACAGAGAGATCAGGTATTACAGGTCACTGACGTAACCTCTACTGTGTAGTGGCACCATTTATTAACTCCAGAAATACAAGGCAATTATTTAAGTAGGTATGACTTCAGATTGAACTAATTTGTAAGTACTCATTTTTTATTTTCCTTATCTCTCTTGTACACCAGTGTGTCAATAAGAAGCTGCATTAAGGAAGGCTTTGTGCTCTTTTAACTTAACTCTGACTGACCCTCTGGTTTGGAATACTTCAAACACTATTAAATTTTTATATATCCCTTTATAGTCAGTAAGTTGAGCTCCGAACTTAAAATCCACAGTGTAGGATTTTGCAGGAGGAAATGTTCAAGAACACAGAGAATACCATTTTAATCTCTAGATGGAGAATAAGATTATCCAATGTATTTGTTTAAAACAATACCAGAAAAGTCCACTAACACCTGCTACCATGAAAAAGAAGAAATCTCAAACATTAGATTTGGTACTATAAAAAGCCATAAAGAATTACACAAAACAATCTGGTAATGTGTAACATGATTGTAAGGGATGCAGTAAACCAAAAAATAGCTTTATCATAGTAAAAAAAACACATATGAAAATAAAACGAGGATTCTGCCCACAAGTAAAAAAACTCTTGAAACTTTCTTTGGAAGTTGAAAATATTGCTTAAGATTCACTTGGCTCATCACCTTTAAAAACAAAAAGAAAATACTGTAGAGCATTGACATATAGTTACTATTTGAGATATTGCCCTGTGCAAAGGAGAAAATTAAACTGCCTTCAGTTTGCTTTAGATTATTCCTTTCAGATAAGAAGAAAAACAGTGCAATCTCTTCTTATGGCAGAAATAAAGTGATGAAAAAAGTGATGAAACATACTTTTTTTTCAACACTGTTTCCCCCTCAAGCAATTTTAAATACCTTTATCATTGCTTGTGACACCTTATTAAAAAAATGTTCTGCGTAAGGAAGAACTGAGTATACTGGTCTTCAAGTATACTTCAAGACAAGAAAGAGACTTGGCACAAAGCTAGCAATAATCGGAAATTTTCCTTCAGAAATATTTTCCACAGGAAAATTGCAATTTTTTCCAGAAAATGTCCATTTCCTCCCAGGAAAATCAAAATGAGGGCTCCCTGCCTAGACTGCTCTCATCAACTTTGTCATTGCAGAGAACAGGGAAACTGGTGAGAGCTTTGGAGGCTGGAAGGAGGCTGACGTTACGCCCTGGGGGACTGGGACTTCTGCTCCCTCTAGTTTGCCCTGGGGACAGCTACGACAAAGGAGCCAGAGGGAGGAAAATGTGGTTGCTCGGCCTCAAGAAAGCTATTTAGAAGGCGACAGTCAAATTTTCTGCAGAGAGGGAAAAATGAAATTGATAAAAGCCACCCAAGTATGCGGGGCTATGGATTTCACTGAATTTCACTGAATTTTTAAAGTTGGAAGGGACCATAGAGATCATCTAGTCCAACTCCTCTGCTGAAGCAGGATTGCCTAGAGCATGTTACTCAGGAGCATCCAGGCGGGTCTTGAAAATCTCCAGAGAAGGGGACTCCACACCCTCCCTGGGCAGCCTGTCCCAGGGTTCTGTCACCCTCACCGTGAAAAAGTTTTTCCTCATATTTGAGTGGAACCCTTTATGTTCCAACTTGTGCCCGTTGCCCCTCGTCCTCTCACTGGCAACTACTGAAAAGAGTCTGGTTCCCTCCTCCCTCAGCCCGCCCTTGAGATACTTGTAGGCATTACAATCTTTGTTTTCATTCTCCTGAAGCATTTTTTTTTCCCATAAATAATGCCATGACGTTTTGTCAAAATTTCAGATGGATTTCCTTCTCTACGAGTATTTGTTTCCACCTTTGTGCCACTTCTGTATAAAACACAGAAGAGCAAATGTGGGCTTTACGCAAAAGCCACCAAAGGTGGTCTTGATTTAGTCTTTCCTGTGTGTTTTGAAGAGGGAATTGAGCACGAATCTATAGAGCCAATACAGGGAGAAAGCTCTGCAGGAGGAGAACCACAACTGTTGGGGTGTTGTACTCTCTACTATGGCGAGATCCTGCCAGTGCTGACGTTGTATGGCTGGAACCTGTGGAACAAAGTCCTGGCTCTGCAAAAGCCAAGGACAACTGCTGTGTCAGTTAGAGCATGCAGAAGTGAGAGATGGTGCTCTGGAGAGGACAGTGGCGGGCAAGCGTAGGTGGGGAATCATTTCTTGTGAGAAAAAGGAAATTTCCCCTAGTTGCCTCCAGCTTCCTAAATCGGGAGTGTGATCTGAAACAGTGTATGAAATTATCAAATTGGGCTACATCTAGGTAGGCTGAAAATGGAGTGGCTGGTGGGCAGCAGTGCAGGAGGCACCATTTCAGGATCAAACATCAAATCAAGGGAGGGACCATTTGCTGAGGACACCCCTGTGTAAGGAAGTCACCAGAGGTGTAGAGGTGTACCAGCCTCAGCAGTCCTGTGCCAGCCAGTGGTAAGGGGAAGAGTCAATGGCTTGCTTCCTTCCACACCGTGATCCCAACACACCTGCTTGGCAGACGAGGCTACAGGTCCTGCCAAGAACATGGCATCACGGAGCGAGAAAGCACCTGCTTGATCTGTCTTCAAAAGCTGTCAAACCTGGCCTTGCATCAGAGAAGCATGAAAAGGGAGTCAAAGGCGCACATTTCTTCTAATGTGGATGGGGAGGAGGAGGTGTACTCGTATTTTCCACCTCTCAGGAAATCAACAGCTATTTAAAAACAACTTACAATAACTGAGAAACAGAAACATGCAACAGCCTTTTTTGCAGAAGAGTTGGCACAACGGCCATCCGGTGCCGTTCTCTCTCCTATGGCATACCCTTGGTCTCCTCTGGCTGAAGTGATGAGCTGGAAACTAACAATCCCAGCTAAAAAGATGCAGCAGAAATCCTCTCTGCCATATCCTGACCCAGTTGAAATCTGAAATCCTTGTATTAGCTACTACTTAGGTACCGCAGTGATCGGCACAATATGGATTAGATTTGAATACTGTAGAGAAGATTTTCCACCAGAAAATCCCCTAGGATCTCTCTCAAAGTAGCATTAAATTCAGGTCCACTGCAACAGTAACCACAAGTTGGAAAAATGTGTCAGCGTATCTTTGAGTTTTATGATAGATTATGATTTATAATGCATCTATTCCTAAGAGGATGGTATGAGTTTTACAGGAAAAGTTTCTGCTAAAATATAACTCATTCTATATGCATATTTGTTTCTCTATGACTGTTGGATGATTGAAGAAAACCCTCAAAAAATATCAAATGAAAATGTCAGGCTTTTCCTTAAAAGGGTTTGGTTGGGGTTTTTTTTGATTAATCAAATGGTTCCATTCTTAGTCTCAGTTATTTATCTTTTCTGCCACATCGCTGATGTTAATTAAACTCATTTCGGTAAACTAATGTAGAATGTACTCATTTGGACTGAATCCAGGAGTAAATCTGTGGTAAACTAGTTAACCAATATTTTTTAAATCAAGCTAACGGTTTAAAAAATGTTATACAAGTTTAAATTCCAATTTATTTCTACTGCAATTCTTCTAATCACTCACTTTATAATGAAATGTCACATTAATGTCTTTTCAGCTACTGTGCTGCTTGAAATTGAGAGTATATGCTCCTTTTCAAACCATGAAAATTAAAATATTCTTTATTTATGTTATTATATTTGCTTAATATAGCCTTGATTAACACATTGTTTTAAACCAAAACATTTCTTCACAAGCTTTCCTGACATTTCAGTGCTCTCTTTTTTTATGAATATTTTCCTTTGTTTGAAAAGAAAAAAAAAATAAATTACTGCATTAGAAGCATGTATATTGAGATACAATCAATAATATGGATTTAGGACCATGTTCACTTCACAGAGTTGCTGTATTACACTATACATAGTTAATCTCTATAAGAAAGAAGAAAGACAAAACCAGAAAAACATGGAAATGCTTGTTGGACAGAAAGCCATGACCATCTATTAGCTGTAATTCTCATGAGTAACCATGAAAATCTGCAACTACATTCATATTACACACACTTAATACTCACAATTCTACTGAGATCAATGGAAGTGAAGGGTCACCTGCCTACATTAAGGGTATTATATTTTTAAGCCCCTGGAGGCAATCAAACTGGAATTTACTATTTCACTCATTGTTTGCATGTTTTACACTATGGTCAATATACTTGTTTTTATCTATTTTAATTCTATAAAATTTGTTGTGACTGGTAGTATGTAGACCATCAGAAATACATTTATTGCTACCATTAAGTGCCTTTAAAAGTCATTAAAGTGTTATATTTTTTTCCCTTCAGCATCAAACATTTTATAAAGCTAATACAACACCCAAATTTAAATGCTTGTTACGGAAGATACTATGAAGGCAGTGCAACGTTACTGAATTCAATAATTCAATTGCATTGATGGATTTCTAATGGATTTCATTGGATTGATGAATGCACTAGCAGTTTTTAAACTTATATTTAATAAACATCATAAGTAAAATTGTCAGCATTTTAAAAATGAGTAGTTCTTGATGTTAAGAAGTTACGGTCATAAACCTGGAATTATAAACTCACCCAAATAAATCAAGCAGGAATTCAAGCATCTGTTCAAATATATTGTTCAAATTGGTGATAATCTGTCACACAATCATTCTAATCATTCAAAATCATTCTAAAATTGTACCTTGCTCTGAAGTTGCGTTAATTCTTTTGCAAATACACTGTCAATTGTGGCTGGCATCTGCTGATAGAGCGAGTTGGAAAGGTCTTTCTTAGCAGCTCCTTTATACTTCACCTAGAGAGGAGGAAAAGGTGACATATAATGCAAAAGCTAAGACAGAGTAATCATACAACCTATTTTTCTCTATTAAATAAAATGGCATAGACCATTAGAACTGGAAAAATCTAATAAACTTTCAAGCAAATCAGATCTTTAAATAACAATTTTAAAATACTTTAGGTGGATGTATCTAATTCACGAAACAATGCAATGTATCTCCTAGTTAAATTCAATAGTTTGGGGGGAAGTATAAAATAAGGTAAGCAAGGCAGGTTTTTTTCTCTTTTCTTAATTTAAAAAAAGAAAAAAACCAAAATTATCTTTTTTTCTTTCCATTTTCCCAAATTTTGCACAATGGAAGCAATGAGAGGCCAACAAAAAATATTTTACTGATTAATAAGTGGTAGCAATTAAATGTAATCAGGAAGGACAGGAACATTGACGTTTGCGTGTCTGCTATCATTTCTAGTTAGTCTTCTCATATTACAGACTCATTTTTAAATTACTTTTTTATTTATCCTGTACTTTCTCCACTACTACAGTACTAGCAGTTCCTCACAAAAGGGTTTTAAGAGACAGGGCAGAATAAAAGTCCAAAATCTGGGAGGCTTTTTCTTCAGATCGAAGTTTTTCAAATTTATAAAACAATAGTGTCAAGTATTGCTGTGAAAGTAATCATAAATATCAAGGATATTTTAAATGGTATTGTCTAATGTAATTTATTTTCTCTGTGATATACAGCTGATCATTAGAGACTAGTTGCCCATATATATTACATATATCAATAATTTGCCGTGGTATTTGTTGCTGCTTCCCAAAACAGAGGGCTCGTTTTCACTGCAATAATTTCACTGCTAAGAATTTCAGTGTTCAAGTTTTGCAAAAACAGGTTACAGGACACTAGAGGTCAGTCATTTACAAGATAAACCATCCATCACATCACTGGCTGCAGGTAATGCTGCAATAAGCAACAGCACTCAGCAGTGTAATATCATAAAATACACAGGGCTTTACATTTTGAAATTCCTTTATCTTTCTAAATCTTTGATTAATAATTAGCAGCTTTTCTTTGGAAGCAGACAGACTGATTCAATAAATTCTCTATTTCGTAGACTACAGTAGTCTGTCTCTTAGAAAGTATAATTTTGTTACGTTTATGCCTCTCGGGACATGCCACTCTTTCTCATAAAATATGAGGACAAATATAACAAAAATATTCATTAGATGCATTTATAATGAGTGTAGCCACACAGCAAACTGATGTGTATCAGAAACAGAATATAAGCTGTATATAAATTACATAACTCCAGGCAGGGTTATTGGGATGTTCTTTATCGTAATGACGAAGGTAGGAAAAAAATTAAAGGCACCAAAAATTCAAGTCTTCCAAGGGTCAAAGTAAAAGAAAAATCACCCAGAACCAGCAGTTCCTTAACAGAAGCAGCTCTGTCAGGTAGAACTCCTGCTGCTGTTCTCACCTGGGACATGAAGAGCTGGGAGGAGATTCTGCTCTGGCGTTTTGGAAGCTGCCGTTCTCCCTCTGTGTCTGTGTGTATGCAAAGATCTAAAAACTCTGAGGTGGGTACCCATACCCACGTATGTATGTGAGCACTGAGGGGACCTGCAGATGGCAGATCTCTGCCCCAGTCCCCTGGCTGGAGGAGGACAGGGGTGATGACACGGTAACAGAATCACTGCATCACAGAATCTTCTAAGTTGGAAGGGACCTTAAAGATCATCTTGTCCAACCGTCAACCTAATTTTGACAAAAATAAACACCAACACAGTGTCCTTCCCTCCTTCAGGCTGTGAATTCTCCACTAATTTTGACAAAAATAAACACCCACACAGTGTCCTTCCCTCCTGCTTGATAGTCAGGCTGCGAATTCTCCGCAGCAGGGGAACTGCACACAGGAATAATCTGAAAACCCCATCCCTGCAGAATAACTAAAAAGAAATCCTTTTCTGATTCCTCGGTTTATCCATAAAATGGGATAGCTAAGACCACCTCAGAACCATTAATAAAACATCTTTGAATCCCAGAATAAAAGCATTGCATAATTCCAAATTAGTATTACTCCTATATACAGTTTATACTAATTACAATGCTTTAAGTCAATTCAGCTTCAAACAGAACTGTTATTTGAAATAAGCCATCTTTCCACTGCTAAAAAACACTGTATTCAACTCAGAGAGTTTTTATGAGGCATAAGAAGCAAAGAGAATTCTTCAATCTTTTAGGTCTTACCTCAGAAATAAAAGCACCAAGACTTCTCACATGTTTTAGCTGTGGGGTGTCAGGTACAAATATACATTTGCCCTTAGATTTTTTAAATTCTTCTTTATAGTGTATCTACAAAGAGGAGAGAAAAGTTTAGTTGTTCTTTAAAAAAAACAAACAACAAAAAAAAGCACAACAACAAAAAAACAAAGGAAAAAGATATAATGGCCACTTTTATTGGTGGTGTTGTCATATTAATATTTATGGCTATTATGCTGGGTAGCTTGCAAACACCTCAGCCTGGATCAAATTAGGCCACACAGGGAAATGCCCAGTCCTCACACAGTACCAGGGCTATGAAAAAGGCACAGAACTCTTTAATAATACAGATGAAAAAGATTTTATTTTTTTTTTCCTACAACACATTTTCACCACTTCCATCATATAGATGTTCTAGTATCTCTAAAGGAAGGAGAACTGAATAAAGCATTTTCACCTTGATCTCAAAGAACAAATTGCTAAGCTAACTTCTAACACAGACCTAGCATGCACCAGGTCTTATATCTGCACAAAACAATCAAAAGCCACTGCCAAAGCCTTTCTGAATTCAAGAGTTACACGAAGAAATTCAGAAGCCAAACTTCTGAATTCAGTGAATTCAGAATTCACTGCCAAACCACTGCCTACAAAGCACCCCAACAGTCATGGCACGCAGGTAATATCAGAGTTAAAGAGCATTTCAATTTTAAATTGAGTCATTTTTTTAAGTCATAGGTACGCACAACAGAAACAATTTTTGATGCAAAAGGCCACAAGGTATTTGGGGGGAAAAAAAACCAAAGATGTTTTTTGTGTTCTTTTTAACCTTTTTCTTACCACATTCTTCAAACAATGTGGGCAGGTATAGTAAGCAGTTATCAAAAAATAAATGCATGACTATTGATGAAGTCAGAAGCACAGTCTGTATTGGTGAGATTGCACAGGGGATAAAGTCCATGAACGTGGTGAATGTGTAGGGATCTTTATTATGTAAGAACAGCCTGTCTGTGATGAGATGGACTAAATAGATTTTAAAGATAGGCATCTTACATGCCTTACATTGGTGAATGTGTAGGGATCTTTATTATGTAAGAACAGCCTGTCTGTGATGAGATGGACTAAATAGATTTTAAAGATAGGCATCTTACATGGATAGCCTTAAATGCTTTTTGTAATATTTCTTTCTTTGTGCGCAGAATAATTTACTTCAATGTAAAATGAATTATTTAGTATTAAGCTTTCACGTTTATTATCGGCTACCATTTCTCTAACCTCGTTTTCACATTCTGCACAACAGCAGCTTGCAGTTATGCACTCTGGACTTGCTGACAAGCACTGACAGAAGCAATATGATCTGCATCTGAGCAGTACTGAAATATGCAGTCTTAATTTCCTCCCTCTCTGAATCCTTAATGGATATCACAAGTTCTAGTCTATGCTCCTCTACAGGGACTTGGAAAATTCATGAGAAGGATGGGAGCTGACGCAGAATCAGCTCCTGTACTTTCTGATGCAAACCTTTTGCTCACCACAAAATGGGATTAGATAATGCCAAATTCATCTCAAACTGATGGCTACATGATCCTCACACGTGAAATAATTTTTGTTACTATTGATCTCATCTAGGTTTGGACTACTGAAGGGATCTACATCCCGTTACCGAATCATGTTGTCTGCCTATGTGGATTACAGTGTATTTTAAATAAAAACTGTGTGGTGAACAACGGGGGTAAAACTACTGTATGCCATCATTTCACTCTGGGATACACAAATCCAATGGTTCATGTCACCTGTGTGTGACACCGTACCCCTAGGTAATTACAGAGCAACACACAAAAAGGGCAGTGTTGTGATAAGCACGAGGAGGCACTTACTGTCATTCTGCACACGTGTGCCAGCACCCATGGACTTGCAGGGCCGGGGGGCAGAGAATGTGTCCACGAACAGCTTTAAAAAGCTTCACAGAATTATGGTCATTCGTGGTGATACAGCTGAGAAGTGATGGGGGAAATCTAAAGAGCTGACTGTCTTCTGGTTAGGTTTGATGGAGTTCCCAGTAGGAACTCCTGTAAAGCCGAGATTCTCTTAGAGGAGATGGGAGAGTCTTGTGGCTCCCAGCTTGGATAAATCACCCATGGATAACTGAGAGCTGGCTGTAATTACATCCATTTTAATTACAGAGCAATAATTCCATCTTAAAATCAAACATGAAAGCCTGCTAAGGTGTCTCTTAACTGGGGGGGATGACATGACACAACTAGAAGAAACTAAAGTCATGCTGCTATAGAAATCATGCTTTCAAAATAACCGAAAGCAGTAAGGACAAATGCCACCTCCTTATTCTTTTATTATTCACATTTATTACAGTAACCCATAGAGGCCACAAGATGCACGTAGGCTCAAACGAGCAATTTAGAGAGGACGTGTAACAAAATGTGTGGTAAACTCTGATCCAACACATTCTGTTCTGTTACAGAAGTGTCTGCATCGCTTGGAATCGGAGAGATGGAAGATTAAATGGGATAAGTATAATGAAGTCATTACATCTGCTCTTATAAAGTGTATTCATTGCAAATGATGTAAGCTAGAGGCTGAAGAGGTTGGCTATGACTGACATGTAGATAACCATCAGTAAAAACATTAATACCCAATAGCTACTACCTAAAGTAGCTTGAGATTACAAAGGAGCAATCTTGGTACCTTCTTTTAAGGATCTATCCAATTTTCAGCACCCTTTTTTTGAAAATTAAAGTATTACCAGATGACACGTGGACGAAGAGGAAACTTTGACCTTGTCAAATCACAGCCAAGCCAACCCTGCAACACCTACACATCCCAGATATTGGTTTTCTGAGTTACCTATTCCTTTCTGATATGTAAGCCCTAATAAATTATACCTTAAGTGTAGTTTCTGTATGTTCTCATAAAATCAACATAGTCAGTTCACCTTGAACAATAACATCCCAAATCTAAATATCAGATTACAACGTAACACGAGCCAGATCTCAATTTTTGGTTTCTTTAGAAGAAAGCTTGTTAAAGTCCCTCTCTCCTCAGTAGTCTCCTCTGCTGACAGCCACCATCCTCACAGGAGAAACATCACCCGAACTCCCATTCACACGAAGGGACAAAGTTACTCTTCAGCCAGACTTTTCCAGAGGGACACAGAAATAAACCTCCACCAAGGAAAATCTGATGCTGTTACATTGAAGCAATTGGATCTCCTCCAATTTAAAATGTCCTGGATCTGATCTATCATGCTTATGCAATGTCTATATCTGATTGACATCGTTAAAAATCTATAGTAACTAAGTCAAGAATTTTCTAGCTAAATATTTTTTAAACATATTCTAGCATTTCAGTGGAATCTTCCTGTAAGTGTAAGCCAATATTATTATGCTATGCAGTTTTGAGCATCTATCACCACAGACTAATAGATAACACTGAAAATTCATCTATTTTTATCCTCCCTCCTTACAGCTATGTATACTGGCACCCAGATCTGTTCTAACCAATCAAGCTTCATAGCATTAGGCTATAACTTGAAAAAATACTCCATTTTTCTGATGAAATCAGCCAAGGTATTCTCATGGGCGACACCCTCCGCATGAGACCCACTTTTTGGGACATTCTCCTTCCGAGGGCCTAGGCTTCATTCCGTTCAAATGCTCTGAAAAGCTCATACTTTTGCAGCTGATAATTTAAGGTACTAGAGTAGGCTCTGCCTTTCTATTATTCTGTGTGCTTTTATATTTGACCCTTGGATGGGCACATGCTGCACTGTACATATCTGTAAAAAATACATATCGTAAATATAAAGCCACTGGAAAGAGAAATGCAAATGTAAGGATGCAAACAGTCACCACCACTTACGTCACTGATTATTTCACTGCATTTTCGGGCCAGTTCCATATTTCTGTCCTCAATAACAGGCTTGAGGAAGACCTGCAAGAGAAAAGGAATCATTCCAGGTTTATTGTCCTAAAAGGGTACCAATAGAAGGAAAGGAGTACTTTTCAAAGCTTTTGGGGTTTAACTCACCTTTTCTTCTTCCTCCCCATCCTCATTTTCATCTTCCCTGAAATCCTGAACGACAGACACTCGCATTTTAATACTTTGCAGCAAACAACAATGAGAACTCTAAAAAGGTTGAGCGCTGCAGGAAACGGCTCAGACCCTACAGCACGCCTGGAATCAATGCTTCATTTGTGTCCTCCACTGCACTTAACTCTACCAAGGCTCCTTCCTTATTTAGGCAGCACTTGACAGTCTTTATCTGAACAATTCAATGTGAGTGAACTGAAAGGCATCGCAGATGGCCTTGTGAGCTATCAGTCGCACCAGAGCTAATGCTTTCTTACAGATAAAATATAATTAAATGACCTATCCCAGTCAACTATTTTTAAAATGACTATGAACGCACATAATTAAAATACTGTGATGCCCTTAATTCATAACTTCAGAAATTTAGTAAAATTAACAGGCTTAAAAGGGGAATATTGACTCCAGGGTTATGGGAAAACTGCCCCATTCTAAGATTCAAGGCATCACTGACTCCAAAACCAGTTATCACAAATATTTTGTTAGTTCAATAACAGAGCTTTCTGATTTAAAAAAAAAAAAAAAACAACCTACACTATTCTCATTTTCCAGTAGGTGTAACTGCTAGTATATTTTTCAGGAAATATCCCTTTTCCACAAAGCAAATAAAATTCCTTAAATGCTTTGCATATTAGGTCAGCTGAAGGTTAAACCTGTGCATACATAGATACAAACACATCTCTACGCTTCCAAGCACACGTGGCTATGCATTTACACAAACATGAATTTTCCTTCACTGTTAAAAACTGTCTTGCTCTGTAGTCTCAAAACCAACCTTTTTGAGGATGAAGTCATTGACTCTGGCTGCAATGAAAGTGATAGATATCCTTATCCTGATGGGCAGAGTGTCACAGTGCTTGTTTCTGCAAAACCTGCAAAGAGGTATTACAGGACCAGTTGGACTAACCAGCATTTTAACATTCTTTTTTCTTCTCATCTTCTAGAGGTCATGATTTTGAACTTCATCTAGCAAAGTGATTCACCACTACACAGCTTTGTAATCAGGCCAAGATATAAGGAATGTGTACTGTTAAAGAACCTCTTCAAAGAATTTTAAGTACTTGTGCCCAAACACAATGTCCTTAGAGCTTATTTAAAAACACACATTTCCTTAGAAAAAGAAACATTTCAAAGAGAAGGACAAATACAGTATTTGACTTAGTTAAGGTCTGAAAATTTGAAAAAAAATATTAAGAACAAAGGCGAGCCAGATCTCAATTTTTGGTTTCTTTAGAAGAAAGCTTGTTAAAGTCCCTCTCTCCTCAGTAATGTCTCCTCTGCTGACAGCCACCATCCTCACAGGAGAAACATCACCCGAACTCCCATTCACACGAAGGGACAAAGTTACTCTTCAGCCAGACTTTTCCAGAGGGACACAGAAATAAACCTCCACCAAGGAAAATCTGATGCTGTTACATTGAAGCAATTGGATCTCCTCCAATTTAAAATGTCCTGGATCTGATCTATCATGCTTATGCAATGTCTATATCTGATTGACATCGTTAAAAATCTATAGTAACTAAGTCAAGAATTTTCTAGCTAAATATTTTTTAAACATATTCTAGCATTTCAGTGGAATCTTCCTGTAAGTGTAAGCCAATATTATTATGCTATGCAGTTTTGAGCATCTATCACCACAGACTAATAGATAACACTGAAAATTCATCTATTTTTATCCTCCCTCCTTACAGCTATGTATACTGGCACCCAGATCTGTTCTAACCAATCAACCTTCATAGCATTCGGCTATAACTTGAAAAAACACTCCATTTTTCTGATGAAATGAGCCAAGGTATTCTCATGGGCGACACCCTCCGCATGAGACCCACTTTTTGGGACATTCTCCTTCCGAGGGCCTAGGCTTCATTCTGTTCAAATGCTCTGAAAAGCTCATACTTTTGCAGCTGATAATTTAAGGTACTAGAGTAGGCTCTGCCTTTCTATTATTCTGTGTGCTTTTATATTTGACCCTTGGATGGGCACATGCTGCACTGTACATATCTGTAAAAAATACATATCGTAAATATAAAGCCACTGGAAAGAGAAATGCAAATGTAAGGATGCAAACAGTCACCACCACTTACGTCACTGATTATTTCACTGCATTTTCGGGCCAGTTCCATATTTCTGTCCTCAATAACAGGCTTGAGGAAGACCTGCAAGAGAAAAGGAATCATTCCAGGTTTATTGTCCTAAAAGGGTACCAATAGAAGGAAAGGAGTACTTTTCAAAGCTCTTGGGGTTTAACTCACCTTTTCTTCTTCCTCCCCATCCTCATTTTCATCTTCCCTGAAATCCTGAACGACAGACACTCGCATTTTAATACTTTGCAGCAAACAACAATGAGAACTCTAAAAAGGTTCAGCGCTGCAGGAAACGGCTCAGACCCTACAGCACGCCTGGAATCAATGCTTCATTTGTGTCCTCCACTGCACTTAACTCTACCAAGGCTCCTTCCTTATTTAGGCAGCACTTGACAGTCTTTATCTGAACAATTCAATGTGAGTGAACTGAAAGGCATCGCAGATGGCCTTGTGAGCTATCAGTCGCACCAGAGCTAATGCTTTCTTACAGATAAAATATAATTAAATGACCTATCCCAGTCAACTATTTTTAAAATGACTATGAACGCACATAATTAAAATACTGTGATGCCCTTAATTCATAACTTCAGAAATTTAGTAAAATTAACAGGCTTAAAAGGGGAATATTGACTCCAGGGTTATGGGAAAACTGCCCCATTCTAAGATTCAAGGCATCACTGACTCCAAAACCAGTTATCACAAATATTTTGTTAGTTCAATAACAGAGCTTTCTGATTTAAAAAAAAAAAAAAAACAACCTACACTATTCTCATTTTCCAGTAGGTGTAACTGCTAGTATATTTTTCAGGAAATATCCCTTTTCCACAAAGCAAATAAAATTCCTTAAATGCTTTGCATATTAGGTCAGCTGAAGGTTAAACCTGTGCATACATAGATACAAACACATCTCTACGCTTCCAAGCACACGTGGCTATGCATTTACACAAACATGAATTTTCCTTCACTGTTAAAAACTGTCTTGCTCTGTAGTCTCAAAACCAACCTTTTTGAGGATGAAGTCATTGACTCTGGCTGCAATGAAAGTGATAGATATCCTTATCCTGATGGGCAGAGTGTCACAGTGCTTGTTTCTGCAAAACCTGCAAAGAGGTATTACAGGACCAGTTGGAGTAACCAGCATTTTAACATTCTTTTTTCTTCTCATCTTCTAGAGGTCATGATTTTGAACTTCATCTAGCAAAGTGATTCACCACTACACAGCTTTGTAATCAGGCCAAGATATAAGGAATGTGTACTGTTAAAGAACCTCTTCAAAGAATTTTAAGTACTTGTGCCCAAACACAATGTCCTTAGAGCTTATTTAAAAACACACATTTCCTTAGAAAAAGAAACATTTCAAAGAGAAGGACAAATACAGTATTTGACTTAGTTAAGGTCTGAAAATTTGAAAAAAAATATTAAGAACAAAGGCACAGGCTGCTTTCACTCTATAGTAACCAAGAGGTCGGATTCTTTATACGTTAATAGTACAGAAATTTTCACTATTTTCCATTCCATTATTTCAAGTATGAGCTCCTAGAGTTCAGATTTGGATTGGCATTGCTGAAGTTCAGGCTGAAACCAGTAAGTCTGGTTTATATAGGTGAGGATTACCAGTAATTTATGCTGACTACTTTTGGAGCTCAGGATGTTTCACCATTATAGAAACAAATGGTTTTAGTCTTATAAGATGGGTATTCACAGTAACAGGTCACTTTTGAAGATTATGGCCACAGGAAATATATTCATAAACAACAGACCCGTGCATGATTTCAAGGACCACATGTTAAGGACACAGAGTACCTACAAAAGTGCCAGATGAAAACGCAGCACCAAGGCTTCATTTGGAGATTTTTATGATAATATTGCAAACACTATATTCTTCCAGCACAGTTAATTTCCCTTTCCTTCCTACATTTAATAAAATTCTTAAGTGGAGACATTGAAAAATATTTTAGAGAGTTGAGAAGAGCTATTAGTAGCTGCAAAGCTTGCTGAACATGAGGAAATCTTTTGCTATTTTTTGCACCGGAAAGCAAATATGATCAAAATCACAAAGTCAAAACCGTTCAGGTTTGCAGGGGGAAGAGGAGGCTGTTCAGCTTTTTAACATGCTTACATTGTATCTGGTGGTTTTTCAGCAGCTGCATACCAAAGCTTACACATTAATCGTGGTTTTCCTGTAATGGTTTCTACATAATAAAGATCTGCTTTCTCTTTAGCATGATCTTCAACTCATTTGATAGAATTTATTTTTTCCATTTCTACATCATCTGGGTCAGGCATAACTGAGTGTCCAAATATGCTGCGTTCCATGTAACTTATTAACATGGGAATTGCAAAACAGCTGTTATAACTCATCATATTATAGAAAAATATAAAGTATAGAAAAATATAAAATATCCCTCCGCACAAAGGGAGCAAGGGAAAAAATATCACAGTATCAACTAACCATACACAAGTTATTCAAAATGTCACTCTTTTGCATAACAGATGCAATAAGGAACTATGACACAGAAACCTGCCTCCCTTTTTAGCATCCTCCTCAAAACACCAAATACTGTGAGATAACACTCATTGTGCAATAAAGCAAGCCTGGAAATTAAATATATCCAGATATAATTCAGAGAAGATTTTGTTATGACCATTTAAGGGTTGCATGGTTTAGAAGTGCATTGTGATTCTACTGGCAGCCTGCAGGTCAAGAGCAAGCTTAAGTTACTTCTATAAGAAGCAAGATTAAAAAAATTAGGATCAGCAGGCATTTTGGCGTAGCAAATGTTTGTGTATATTTACAGATACTTTAATAAATCTAATCTAAATAACGACCTAGTTAAAACGCTGAGCTTTGCATCCCCAAAAAGTTTTTGAAGGATGTTGTATTAAAGAAGACTTTTCACCTGCAAAACCTGCATTTTTACCAAAACCTCCAAACTGACACGTTTAAACCATTTTCCACTTTATACAATGGAATGATCTGCAGTCATTTATTCTGGCATGAAACAGCAGACATTAAACAAAATCCAATTGTACAGAACTTTAAGGAAACACTGTAATGGAAACAGTTTTAAGGAAACACTGTAATGGACTGCTAAGCTGTGTATATACAACAATACTTATATGCATACAGAGCAAAAGATAATTTTATTATTGCATTATAAATATCTTAAAATGCACAAAATGGGTAGAAAAGGGTTCTTCAGGGAAGTATCTAATATGAACTCATTCAAATTTTGTAAGGGAATGCTGCATAGCTCCACATTGCCACTTCCAGCCACCCCGCATGGACCTTTCATGTCTCAGTTCAAATTTAGCCTTAAGAATGAGGTTATTTTGTTGAAGAAGCTGCAATAAAATCAATATATCGGTACAGTGCCCCGATTGTTCACAGAAGCACAGTATTTGCAGTACAGTCTTCATCGTGCATGAACTTCTGAGAGAGAAGACAAGCCTTCTCTAAGCAAACTACGTGGTTTATCCTAAGCAAGGAGACAGCTTAATCTCCTAACATGGCCATCATTCAGTTGTATCAATGTACTATTTTTTGACACAGAACGATACTCAAATACTTGGTCAAATTCTTGTCCTTTTATCAATCTTTTAAGAAATACCTTTGGGAGATGCTAGCCCAGAAAGTTAAAAGGCTTCATCTCCTTTTGGCCCTGATACACATAACAATATAGTAGTTGTGCTCAGTTCTGTCACTGAACAGATTTTTTTTGGCGTAATCCCCAAAAGCCTTCCGAGATCTGCAACATCCACATGTACTGTTGAGCTGAAAAGACTTCTTTACCTTTTCACAGAGTATCAGAAACTGTGTTTGTCCTAGAAAAGGTACCAGAAACACCAATATCTCACATGTATATAGCAGAGTTCCTCATGGGGTACTTGGACACAGGTCACAAGGATTGAGACACTCCAGCAGGAGAACCTGCACAGCATTGCAGTGGGAGGTATATACGTGTGATGAATACACTCCTTTCAATTCTGGATGGCAAACGTAGTAAGAAAAGAGGTAAAGTTTTAGTGCTTTACCTATCCTGCTTCAAATGAGTTAAAAATCAACCTACATACATCCCTGAAATGAAAATGTTATTTTCTGTTCTCACTGGACACACACACACATCACTGAAATAAGTACAATTAATTCAACACAACACAGCTGGTGGCCTCTTTTCAAAAAGCACAGAAGGCATTTGTAAGTGCTGAGATTCAATTACTCCCCATTTCTAGAAATACTCATCTATCAGACTGGAAGTTACCAGCAGCCCTGCACAAGGAAGTTCATAGTCAGGCTATCAGCATCGCAATCACAAACAGAAAGAAAGAGAGGGATCCCACCTGCCAATTTTAACTTCCCCTGAACATGAAATACTAATTAACTTTAACAAAAGAAATTCAAGAGATGGTTCTACTTAGAAAAAAGTAATCTTGCCAATAAACTCGTATCTGTCAGATCATTAGCACTGCATTTATCAACAACACTTCAAAACCTGCAAATATCTCCTGGTTCTAAGCTAATATTTTCACTTAATGAAAGTTATTTCATTTAAGGTTTTGGTAAAGTAGACAAGTAGCCATGGTATTTTTAAAGATGAATACAAATGAGGGGTGAGAATACTGATTTGCGAATCCCAGAAAACCTAATGAATTTTCTGTGCCTAATAAATACATAAATACACACATTTTTGGCAAACACGTACTCACAGAGACATCCAGCCCAACTGGATCGTGATGACAGAGCATTTAAGACGTCTGTTAACATGCAACTAGTTTCACATAATAAGAGCCAACCTAATCTAGTTACCAGCAGCAGTGTAGCTACACTAGCATGACACTGCTTGAGTTAATAAGCTCTTTCCCACACTGCTAATTATCCTGAAAAATGAACTCATTCAGAAGTGGGAGTATTTATCAGGGCACAAGATTGTGCCATGCAGATGTAACCTTAGCTGCGATCAGCAACAATACAGTGAAATAAACCAGCATAAAGCTTTTTCAAATATTAATGTATTCTAAAAAAACTCAGCTTCATTTTTCTGACAATATCCATAATTGCCTATTACCTTTGCACAATAGTTTTTAACCCTCAAAGATGGCATTTCCTAAGTGGGTGTATTCTAAAAAAACTCAGCTTCATTTTTCTGACAATATCCATAATTGCCTATTACCTTTGCACAATAGTTTTTAACCCTCAAAGATGGCATTTCCTAAGTGGGATGTACGGTTTCACCTTTTTTTTTTTTTTCTTTTCTAATTTTTCATTTGTCAAGAAATTAAATCCTCAACAACAGAGGAATTTGGTCTTTCCATCCCCTCAATATTTTCAGTTTAACCC